ACTGCATACAATCCTGCAGTTTCTCCTTTCCGAGATTCATTTCTCATATAGCTAATAAGACCAATCATGATGCATTGGTCTTCTGGAGACTTATTTCTGTGAAATCTGTGTCAATAAGTACCAAAGCAAAAAAGAGAGAACATTGCTTAAGATTTCACGCATTGGCTCAAGAAAATAACCGGCCGGGGGGGGGGGGCGGCATACCTTTAATACATCATGTTTTGCTGCCTTTCTTTTTTATCTTTTGTGTTCGTTGATTATATATGTCCAGGATCTATAAACAAATTCGTCTTCAAGATTCACATATACGGATTCTTCCTTACAGCTACACCCATGATTATAAATGTGCTAAACAGCTTTAGACTTTGCTGGTGCTCACAGTTTTGGAGAAGCGAGATTGAAGAGCTAAAGAGATCCATAAACACCTTGGAAGCTAGACAAAAGTATGTAGCACACACAAACACATATCTATATATTCCATGCCTTCAAAATATCAAACGTTTTCATGTTTTACAGGCACTTATCTGGAGAAGACATGTTAGCATTTGGCATGAGAGAGTTGAAACAGCTTGAGCGCCAGTTGAAAGTAGGCGTCGAACGTGTCCGCTCAAGAAAGGTACGTAGAGAAGGGTTAACACACGGTTATATGCTAGTCATGTTCGAGTAACTGTCAGATACGGGTATATAATATATCTAATACGAAAATGATGATGATATCTTATATCGACATCCTGAATAATGTATAATATCGTACTTATATATACATACATACATTCACATATCATTAATACGCCTTTCCTGTATTAAACAGAGCCGCATTGTTTCGGATCATGCCACCTTGCTGAAGAGAAGGGTAAGAAAATTCTAAGAACATGCTCTTGATCAGTCCTTTAAAATTATAAAAATATACCAAAAATATTGAATATAAACGTATCGAAAACATATCCGTATCCGATCTTTTATATTATCAGAAAAGCAGTTCAAGCTAACGATATCTTGTGTTTCAACGAAGCACAAACAATTGCAAGAGGACAGCACTCGCCTACAGAAAAGAGTGAGACTTTCATCGTGCACTTTATATAATGGATAATATTCGAACATTTAGTTTCAAAATGAAGTTAATTATATTTACTGTGAATTTTGAGGTTTAGTTGAAAGAGCTGGACGACGGAGATACCAGCTCTGGGATTGTGGGTGAAAATTCTTGCAGCATGCTTCAGAAAAGGTAATTAATTATTATTATTAAGTAAATAATTATATTCCATATTTCTATTTAAATGAATTTAAAATTTTAATATGAAAATATTTAAGTGCACTTATCTTACTGAATTGGAACATTGCAGGATCGTAGAAGAAGATCACCTTAACGAAACGGACCTGCCACTGTGATTTGGATATATGCATCGGCCACCGCCGCCGCCGCTCTAGGATCCCACACGCGGACAGTGACACAAGCCATGCCGCAATTGGTTATTTCTATCACAAAATGTATAAGAATTATGATTCTGTATTATTATTAATATATTCGTAGACAAAAGCTTAATTAATTATGGGAAGATTCCTTGCATTTTTTAGCAGCTTAATCGAATTTAATTAAAAAGATTATGCATTATTTAACTCTGAAAGTATATTTTTATGATAGTATTTGATTTAATTTTAATACTTAAAACTATCATCTATTATACTTTAAATGTGTTTTCGTCCTCATATAACAGGAAACACTGGATTTCACGCCTGAAGAAAACAAGGTACAATGAAGTCTAAATTAAAACTTGAAACCCCGATTTTCAATCCAATGTACCAGAATTCTAGATTTAGCACTCATTCAACAAAAGAACCCAAATTTATTGTGCTGCAAAGGTTTCAAATTTTCCTACTACCAATGAAATGGAAGAGTTTGAGGGGCTTCACTTTCAGATGATTCACCGGAGTCCATGTGAAACATTCCTGTTCCGTGGACCCTTGTATCCCTTCCATCGGCAACAACTGAACCCATGGGCTCTATAACGTAGTTTTGATGGCTCGGACCTAAGGATCGCACTGAGAGGACTGACCGAGGCTGCACCGTGTTACTTGAACCGATCCCAGATGTATACAACAGTGGAGATGACAGAAGAGAGAGAGCACAATCCGAATCATACAACATACCATGGCAGCTCCCATTGCCTTCCAAGAAAGGCGCAACAGCCCCGATAACTGGCTGGCAAACGGAAGCTTTCGCAGGTGTTTGATCCTCCCCTTGTAGGAACATGCACTGCTTACCTTCTCTGTAGCTGCTTGAAGAGGATCCAAGAACAAGGCTTTGTTTTACAGGTGAGTTTAACAACTGCTTCAGGCTAAGACATCGAGACTCGATCGCCGATTCGTTATCTCCAGGCCAAGTAGTTTTCACCACAGTGGTGGTCGGATATGCTTGCACACTAGAGAATGGCAACATGGTCATAGCTGACTTTGGTAATTAGAGAAATAGATTCGAGGACGCGGGAGAGGATCCGGTTGAGGCTTCCTTCTCCTCTGGTTATGTCGGTCAAGAAGTGTCCTGCAGCTTCTCTTCCCGTCATTGAACTCCTCCAGTGAGTGAAACCTACAAAAAACCAGCAAAGTTTCTACACTAATTCGAATCTTATCGGTTTTAAATTATGCCCAAGTTCCGAAAAGTAGCAGCTAACAAAGGAAAGGAAAGGAAATACCTGCTGCATTGTTGACAGAATCTTTGCTTTAGGCCATTGATCATAACTTCTGCAGTCTTAGAATGGAGCTCACACACCTTATGGCGCCTATGGTAGTCCCTACATTTACTAAGGTCCGAGTCACATTCATCGACGAGGCACGAAACCGGGTGAGTCCCGATATATTAGGGGATCGAGCCTTCTTCGAACTCGAAGACCCACTTGACCAAGCTTCAAATCGACTCTGAAATCCCCTCTAGAGCTAAGAACTCTACAGCCACTTGATCCATCGCCATTGATTGCATCTGTGTTTGTTTCAGTTTCCTCAACAAAATCACTAAAATCCCATGAAGTAGTTTTCAAGTTCCACTCCATTAAATAAAAAAAATCCGTCACTTTCCACTGTTTATGTTCACCTAATAGGAAACTTTTCAACAATTAAATAAGGGGGAACAAGTTAGCAACAGAACATTAAACAGTTCCAAAACATTGGAAGCAGAAAAAATAAATAAAAAGAGAGCAGAAAAAGAAATAATAAAAAAGAAATAATTGTTGGTTGTAAGGAAAAAGGTACTTACAGTTGCTTGTCAGGCCATCGATTCAGTGACACCATTGACTCCATTAACATACAATTAAAGTAGATAAAAAGCACGAGAAAATCATCAGCAAAAGTAAATAATTGCATGAAAGGGAAAGGGGTTTCACCTAAAACAGCTTTATGTTGATATTTTTTCTATGTATATATATATATATATATATATATATTTCATATCATACGGATTTAGAGGTTGTTTGGAAGATGAGATGATGTTGAGAAAGAAGGGATGATAGGGCACAGCCTGCAAAGAAATAACTTGGGAAGTACAAAGGATGGATACTTAGGACAAATGTGTTTCACATTTCATAGCATGTTTTTTCCTACCTTTAGCAAAAGAAAGTTTCTTCTTCCTTTTCTTTTTACAAAAATTATAAAACTAAGATTTATTTTATCAACATTTTCTTGTGAGCCTCATGCATATTTTATTAAACTCAATTTAATTTAAATATTCTTAACATATTTTATTAAAAATATTATAATCTTATTGTTTAACTCGATAATTAGACATTTGATTTATCTAAAAAATCTCATATTTGATCTTCTTGAATTTCATTTTTTTTAATATTTCACTGATTCACCTGTGATTGATATAACTTGTGAACTTGTCATGTTTACTGTTATTAATGATTTGATTGTCAAATGAAAGTTCTCAAGAATAATAATAATCTTAATAAAAAAATGATTTTAAAGATTAAATAAAACACTCAAAAAGTTTAGTGGCTACCAACGGAATTTATCCTAAATTAAATACCAGATATATTAATTTTGTTATTTATGTATGAAAGTGACCCTCCTCTCTCTTTCCTCGACTTCTATCATATTTTGATTATTTTCTCAGCCGACACTGATTGAAATAAATATCAGACGCCGTTTAACTTAATGATATAAACATAGAATTTTAAGTTTTTGAATTTTTTTAATTACTATATATATTTCATAAATTTTAATTTACAAATAATTTATTTGTTTATAAATAAGATTAGAGATTTAGATCTTAATGTTATAAATAAATAAATTTAAGATAAAATTTATCTTTATAATGAATCTCTTTAATATTCCATTTGAATTAATTAATTAATTAAAAATAAGGGTTATTGAATCAAAGAAATATTCGATATGTCATGATAAAATTGGATTTTTATTTATAAAATATAAATTTTAGATTGATTTAAGTTTTTCTTTAAAATGAATTAAATTCATATTTTTAAAAAAATCCATAATTGGATAATTGTACAAACCAAACGATTTCGGTTGTAAAAAAATTATTATCATTCTTTAAGATTCCGAGTTCGAGCACCAAAAATACTAGAAGTATGATCTTTCAATGTCAATGAGAACTGTCTTTTAATAGATACTACCTTATATTTACCTTGAATTAATTAAAAAATTATAATTTTATAATAATAATGAAAAATAATTTTATGTATTCATATTTTACTAGTTAAATTTGACAAAAAAATATTACAATTATAATATTAATTTAAATTTTACTTTAATTTTATATTATTAAAATAAATATATATTTATTATTATTTTAATGAAAATATATGTAATTAAAAAATAATATTAAATTTAATCAAAAATGAATAAAAAAGGGTGGCCAACAGATTATACTAGAAGTTGATAGCCTGGAAGCCCCAAAATGAATAGCCAGAGATTGATTCTCTTTAAAGATGTGTTATTTTCAATGTAAATATGATTATGAAAAATACACTACAAGTAGAACAACTTCTAATGACAAATCCATCAACATAAATAGAAGGAAAACAAATCCACTAAACAAAAGTTGCATCGAACTAGTCGGGGCCATTTTCATTTAACCAAACACGAAAAATAAAGGTACCTCCGGGAGAAACTATGGCATTTCTAAGTCATCCTCTGTGCAGCTTCTTTTGCAAGAAGCTTCTCCTTCGCCTTGGTTCTGGCCTGTGACTTGGAGCCCATTATACCACCTCCCCACTTCTTCCGGTACTCATCATACTTGTCGTTGAAGTTAGCCTGCATATTCGGCGTAGACATTTGAGTGTCAGGTTAGACCAGGGAAAAAGTCCAGGCCAACCAGTTTAAATCCATGTGTAATTTGAACAGAAACTAAATGGAAGTTGGGAAACGTTGCAGGTGTGGTGTAATATTACCTTGATGGCCTCGAGGATTTTGCTGAAGTCCAACTTATCCTCGTTCTTAACTGTTGTTAAGCATAAGACGGAAGCAGTTTTCTTGTGAACAATCTGCGGTAGGTATAAACACAAATAAGTAATCTACTCGCTTTAACTCTATATACAGCAGAAAAGCAGATAACTGCAGAAGACAATTACCGATCCCAAACGTGATTTTCCCTTGACAATGCAGTAGGGGACCTCCATCTTTCTGCACAACGCGGGGAGCCATACTACCAATTCTATGGGATCCACATCATGAGCAATAACAACCAATTGTGCCTTGTTCTGCAGAGGACATAGTACAAAATAGCAATCATTGTTTTTAATAACTTTAGCAATAAAAAAGAGTGCCTTAGAAACTTTATTACTCCTCCGAAATTACATAAGAGAGATGGTGAGAGCGAGAGAGCAGATATTCTGAAGGCAAAGAAGGAGAGTTTCATGGAGGGGTACTTGGTCTGCGTTCGTTGATTATCTTAGTAGAAGAGTGAACAAAAGAACATTAGGGGAACTTTTTAGTTACCATGGAAAAGTTATTAGGGTGTTTATTCCTTTTATTAACAACAGACCAAAATACAAGGATTGTACGTTTGCATTTGTCCACTTTGCTAGCAAGAAGGATCTGTGCAATGCGGTGGAGAAAATGAACAATGTCAGGATCGATGGGAAGATAATTTCTGTTTCAGTAGCTAAATATGATAAGTTAGCTGGGATGAAGAATCGTGAAGGGAATACTGAGGAGGGCTTCAAAAGGGTAGAAAAAGGTGAGTGGAAGGGCAGTCGAATGGCTTCTTCAGCGCAAGTGAATGAGAAAATGGAACGAATGAACAAGTTCAATGATGGAAGAACTTATAGGGACATTGTGGTTGGGGTGAAAAAAGTTCCAGAAGGTCATCAAGTAAACAGTCAAAAGAATACACAGGAAGAGAAGAAATTTTTGGATGTCTTTATTCCGATGGAAGAGAGATTATGGTTGAGATCTTCACTTACTGGCATTTGCAAAGAGATTTTTGAAGTAGAATTTGTACAGAAAGCCTTACGAAATGAGGGCTTCAAAGTTAAGGTGATAAGGTGGGGATGTGCGAAGAATGCGTGTCTGGTGGTGTTTCAGTCGGTGGATGAGAGAAGAATTGCAATGGAAGAAAAACGGGAAACTCTAATGTTCTGGTTTGATATATTGGAGCCGGTGGTAGAGGAGAGGGGTATCCCATTAGCTTATTGTGCGATTTCAATAATTGGTGTCCCATTAAATTGTTGGTCGGTCCCGTTCTTTACTAGCCTAGCATCCAGATGGGGTAAGGTTGTAAAAATCCAAGATCAAACTGCGCATAGAGTGGATTGCAGAGTGGCGCAACTGCTACTAAGGGTTGAGAGTCCTTTTGACATTCCAAAACAAACCATCATCACTACATATGGGAGAAAATTCATGATTAAAATTAAAGTTGATGGTGCTGAGGAATTTTTCCCAGAATTATCAGATATGGAGATAGAAGAAGCTGCAGAGAATCCATGGGAGGAAAGCTCTTCGGAATGGAGCAATGAAGACGTGCAGATTCGGCAAGAAGAGAAGGAGGCAGTTCAGGAGTTGTCAGAAACCAAAAATAGGATGGAGTATGGGGTTAGAAGTTCTCAACATGGCAAAAACACAACTACCGAGGGAGGTTTGAATTTAAACATAGGAAGGGAAAATACACTTGACTTGTGCAAAGAAGTGACAGAAGTAGGTGATGTCTCTACACAGCGGGATAAGTCAGAGGAAGTTAATGAAGGGAGAGAAAATGAGAAAAGTTTGGGAGGTGCCATTAGAGAGCATGATATAGTTGACTGCGAAAATGGGCCTATTAGGGGCCCGGTTTTAAATTTCAGGAGTGGGCTGGAACAAGAGGAGGAGAGACTAAGCAAGGGTAACTGTTTCGAAATAACAGAAAATAATGCTGTGCAAGGCCAAAATTCTGTGCAAGTGGGATCTGTTTCCCTGACCTCCAAAAGGAATTCGGGGACTGTATATGGGAGTAAATTGAGAAGGGGAATATACAAACATGTTTATTCAAGATCTAGGTCGAGGGGAACTAGGAGCTGTTTAGGTACAAGCTCGGATTATGTATATAGAAATGAGGAGGAGGGGACAGAGGCTTTAGAGAGCTGGAATGTTAGTAAATTGTTGGGGGTCACATTTAGAGGGGGGAAAAACTTTTATGAACAGAGCAATTCCATTGATTAAGGAGAGAGAAGTATATGGGGGAAATTAAGGGGTGATGGTTTACAAGGTTTTGATAGGATATAGATGATTAGTTGGAATTTACTGACTTGGAATGTTAGAGGTTTGGGTAGGAGGATAAAGGCTAGAGCTGTAAGGAGGATTGTTGATAAGATAAAGCCTTTAATTTTTTTCATTCAGGAATCGAAAAAGGAAGTGTTGACCCCGTTGGTTGTGAGGAAAATGGGAGGTAATTTGTTGACAGCATCGGTAATTTCAGCATCTGAAGGTTCTGTTGGAGGTTTGATTACTTTGTGGAATGAGGTAGAGTGTAAGGTTATAGAGGAGGTCATCCATAGGAGATATGTAGCAGTTAAGGGTATTATTGATGAGGCACAAGGAGCATGTTGGTTCATAAATGTGTATGGTCCTAGTGTTGATTCAGAAAAGGAGGCGTTTTTTGGGGAGCTTTTATCATTCTTAGAGAATATAGACTGTCCAATGTGTCTCGGAGGAGATTTCAATGTGGTAATGTCACAGGAAGAGAAGATCGGAGGTGCAGTTAACTTAGCTACAATGTTTGCTTTTAAAGATTTTATGAGCAAAGCTAATCTTCTGGATTTGCCTATGGTTGGAGGCAGATTTACATGGTGCAACAATAGAGATATCCCAACTTATGAGCGGCTAGATCGATTCCTAGTGGACCAAAGATTTTTATCTTTGTTTCCTATGATCTCTCAAAGACTCCTAGAAAGGTCTGTTTCTGACCATAACAGCATCTTGCTGGAAAATAGGGGCTGGAAAATAGGGGCTGGAATTGGGGCCCTAAACCGTTCAAATTGTTTAATTATGTCTTGGAAGAGGATGGGTTTTGTAAGATGATGGAAGGAGAACTTGTCAAGCTTTGTGATGTGGAGAATAGGCAACCAATCTCTAGTGTACTAAAAAGAGTGCAGGGAGCAGTGAAGAAATGGTCTGGGAAGGGCTATCTTGAGATTCCTGGGAAAATAAATAGGTTGGAAAAAGAAATACAGGTGATGGAACTTAATTTGCAACAAGGTATCTCCATGGTGTCTATGAAGAACCTAGTGGTAGCAAAGAAAGAGCTGTGGGACTTGTATAAAAAAGATGAACTGATTTGGTTTCAAAAGTCAAGGTTGAAGTGGAATTTGAATGGGGATAAAAACACCAGATTTTTCCATCAGTGTGCAAGAGGTAGAGGGAGGAGAAACAACATCAAATCCATCAAAGTTGATAACGAAGACATTTCAGATCCAAAACTAATTAAAGATTCGGTGGTTCACTTTTTCAAGGGGCTGTTAAACCAGGACAATACATTGGAAGTTGAAGAACTGGACTTGGATTTTTTAAAGCTTTCGGAACAGCAGAGTATGGCCCTCGAGAAGCCTTTCTCTGAAGAGGAAATTTGGGGTGTAATAGCTAATTCGGATAGTAACAAAGCACCTGGTCTTGATGGACTGAATTTAGGCTTTTTTAAGAAGTTTTGGCCAAATCTGAAGGAAGTTTTGCTGCTGTTTTTTAAGGAATTTTATGAGGGTAAAGAATGGGACATGGAAACAAACCACTCTTTCCTCTCTCTTATTCCAAAGAGGGACAATCCGGAGGGCCTTGAAGACTTTAGGCCTATTAGTCTTGTTGGGGGTTTCTACAAAATTCTTTCAAAAGTTCTAGCTAGAAAGTTAAGCTTGTGTATTAATGATGTTATTAGTCCATCACAATTCGCATTTATTCCGGGGAGACATATTTTAGATTGTGCGTTTATAGCAAATGAAGGCATTGATTGTTGGAGGAAAAAAGGATTGAAGGGAGTTGTCTTTAAGGTGGACTTCAAAGAGCTTTTGATTCGGTTGATTGGAAGATCTTGTTGAAAATAATGAGTAAAATGGGATTTGGAGCTAGATGGAGTTCTTGGATGTATAAATGTGTTTCAACAGCTTCCATTTCAGTCCTGGTAAATGGCACTCCTACGGAGAAAATCAACATTACTAGAGGTCTAAGGCAGGGCTGCTCGTTATCCCCTTTGTTGTTTAATTTGGGATGGGAATTGCTACATTTAATGCTGGTGAAAGCAGTGAACAAGGGGCTTTTCTCGGGTTTTGAATTAGGCTCTAATGACCGTTCTTTCATGTTATCTCATTTGCAATTCGCGGATGACTTAATAATTTTTAGTAAGGCTTCTAGTCATGATTTGGTGAATATTAGGAAGGTGCTTCTAATTTATGAACTGCTGGTGGGTTTGAAGTTGAATTTGTCCAAGAGTAGAATTTTTGGAATTAACGTGGGAGAGGAGGAGTTAGTTACATGGGCAAAGGAAATAGGGTGTGTAAAGGGAGTTTTTCCATCGGAGTATTTAGGTCTTCCATTGGGGGCCAAGAGGAATTCCTTTTCCATGTGGGAACCGGTAGTTCAAAAATTTTATAAGAGTTTGGCTGGTTGGAAGGCCAAGTCTTTATCTCTGGCTGGAAGGGCTATCTTGGTCAAATCCGTTTTGTGCTCTCTTCCAATATACTACCTTTCTATTTTTCGGATCCCTAGTAGCGTTCTCAACAAATTAAACTCTATCATGGCATCGTTTTTATGGGGGGAGCATCAGAGAAAAAGAACATTCATTGGATTAAGTGGGATTTGGTGTGTAAGCCTAAGAAGTTGGGGGGTTTAGGGATCCCGAATCTGTTGTTATTAAACATGGCTCTTTTGGGGAAATGGGTGTGGAAATTTGCTGCAGAGAAAAACTCTTGGTGGAAATCTGTTTTGTGCTGTGTCTACAATTTGGATCCTAATTCTTTGATGATTCGGATTCTTGGACAGCTCGTACTTCTTGGATTTGGAGAGGAGTTGTTAAGAATTTCTTTTCATGTGATGCATTTGGGGACTGTTTTCGGAGAAATTTGTGTGTTAGAGCAGGAAATGGAGAAACAGTTAAGTTTTGGCATGATGTTTGGTTGGGTTCGGTTCCTCTTAAAGATAGGTTTCCAAGGTTATTTGCTCTCTCGAATAATAAAGAGGGTAAGGTTGCAGAATTCAGATTGCATTCTGATGCGGGTTGGGTTTGGGATATTCAAACGAGAAGGAATTTGGTAGATTGGGAGGTTGAACAGTGGCTGCAAATTATTTCTCTGTTGAACAACTCTTCTTTGTCCCTAGTTGAGGAAGATTGTTGGATTTGGTTGGGAAATGGAGAGGGTTGTTTTACAGCAAAATCATGTGTGAATGCTTATTTTGATAGAGAGGGTAATGTTGAATTAGAAAGCAATTGGGAAAGATATGTTTGGAAAGGAGTAGCTCCACCACGTGTGGAATCTTTCGTTTGGCAACTTGCTCATCATAGGGTTGCAGTGAAAGAGGAACTGCTGAAGAGAGGAGTTACTGGGGTTGAAGACTCTGTCTGCCCTATGTGCAGGAAGTATAATGAGTCGGTCGCTCATCTGTTTCTTCACTGCGAAGTGGTATGGGTCTTGTGGGCTAAGTTTCTAAAATTATGGAATGTTTTCTTTGTGGTTCCTGGTTCGTTAATGGATTTCTTTATGGCCTGGGATGATCTAGTGCCACGATCTCTCATATGGAAGTTTATTCCAAGAGCGGTATTGTGGTCTGTTTGGAAATGTAGGAATGAGGTGATTTTTCAGAATGAGAAGGTTGATCCGGTGTTGTTGTTCTTCATTACACGTTTCAGAACTGTTTCTTGGTTCGAAACATCAGTTAAGGATGTTCACTTTCATTTCGATTCTTTGATGGGTGATTTAAAACTTGCAGATCAACTTGGCAATTCGCATAAGAAGAATCTTCCTTCTTCCAGGTAGAGTCCTCCTCCGGAAGGGTTTTTAAAAGTAAACGTTGATGGTGCAATGGTTAAAGATTGGGATAAGGGTGGTATAGGTGGCTTGATTAGGGATGGCAGCGGGTTGGTGCTTGGGTCATTTTCAGAGAAGGTTGGGGGAGGTCCTCCTTTACTCGCGGAGCTTTTGGCTATTAATAGAGGGCTGATTCCTATTGAGGAAGTTGAAACCGATTTCTTTTCAAAACAGAGGATTATTTTGGAATCAGACTCTTCTAATGCTCTGAAGTGGATTAATAATCCGATCCTTAGTCCTACTTTGTTCCAATCCTTGATAACGGATATAGCTTCTGCTGTGGAGAGGAAGGGTATTATTATAAGGCACATCTCGAGAGCAGCTAATTGGGAAGCTGATGAATTAGCTAAAGCTGGCATAGGCTGATTTTAGTTGTGTAACTGTTAAGGTGTTGTCTTGGTTGTTACTATTAAAAGTGTATTAGGGTGTTTTATGCTTTCAGAATTATGGTTGTTTTGTTGTGTAAGAAGTTGTTGTTGTAGAGATGTGGAGGTGTATTATTGTTCCTATTAATAAAAGTTAGAGGCACTCTTTCCCTCCTTCCAATGTCCTTCATGTTATGTTTGTAACATGGAGGATAAGAAGGGGGTTTTAATGAGGCCTTATTCTATCAAAAAAAAATAACTTTAGCAATAAACAGAATGAATGAAACCAAACCACACGAATTGATGAAAAATTGTGGAGACTAAATCACAACCTGCTCAATAAGGTATGTAACATGGTTAAGTCCATATTTTACTACAATTGGTTTCTTTGATTCAGGAGCTTTTCCTTCAGCCTCAGCCTGGGCCTTCTTCAGGAGACGTTCCTTCTTGGCGGCCTTGTCCTCTGGCCTGTACTTGAGAAGCAACTTGAAGAGACTAGTTGATGTATTAAGACATAAAATGACCAAGGTATAATTACAAATTCCTATCAATCATTATAAAAAGGAAAGGAGTTCTACAGCAAGAACAAACAAGAAAGCATTTTCACGCTTACATAAATAGATTTAATAAATGAATCAAGCTAAGAAACCATAATTCAATCAAACTAAAATTTGCGAATGTAATATGTGAAAAGAAATAAGTAATGATTTTATCACATACCAAGGTTCTTATCAAGAGTCTTAGTAAATTGGTTCAATGCTGGTGGGACCTTCAACCTCTGCTTAAGGATCCTCTTTTTCCTTTGAATACGAACAACCTTAGGCCACTTCACAAAACGATGCAGATCCTTCTTCGGTGGCAAAGCCCCTCCAATACCGAACTGCTTTGGACGCTTCTCGAACAATGGATTGACAACCTTATCCTAATTTCCAAAATAACAGATAGGTGAGCCCACAACGAATTATTAAAGGGTTCAATGTGATTAAGTAATAAGAAATTGAAAGTTACTTGTTTTTTCTTTGCTGGCACAGCTACCTTTCCACCTCTCTTCGGGGCCTGCATTTAATAACAAATTAATTAAAAAAACAAAGACAAACCTGAACCCTTTTTTTTGGATAAGTAAAATTTTTATTCATCCAAAGAATGCAGACTAGCTGCAACAACCATAACCCATCAACCCATTACATCAAACCCCAATCTATACACAACTGTCTATTTACTGCATCTAGCCTATTCATGCGGCATCCATACATTTTAATACTTACAGCTTCTTTAATTCTACTTACAATGGTATCGATCGAGCGAGTCTTACCTCTAAATAGCCCGTGGTTACGCTCCTCCCAGATGAAATAAATGAACCCAGACCAGGCCAGCTTAAGGATATGAACCAATAGAGACTTCCCTTTAAGGTTCAGCAGCAACCAGCAGACAAGGTCATTCCAGCATAAAGGCCCCAGATTAAGTGCACAAGCATGCAAGATGGCATGCCAAACTCCCACAGCATAGGCACAATCAGAAAAAATGTGATCACGAGACTCAAAACCAGATCTGCACAAACCACAACCACTATCAACAGCTATACCAAACCTTGCAAGCCTGTCTTTAGTTGACAATCTGTCTAACATTGCCATCCAAGATATCATTGAAAATTTTGGAATATGGCCAGGAAACCATACAAGCCGATGCCAACTAACCTTCTCACCTCTACAGCGAATATTATCCCAAATCCACCGAGCATTAACTTGAGACCAGCTACTAATAGAACAGAACAGACTGCTAGCTTCACTCCTCAGCTTAAACATTTTAGCTAAGATCCAGCTAAGGTGAGCCCTGTAATCAGCATGCAGAAATCCACTGATCTAAGCATAAGAGTTCACCCAAGCAATCCAAAGGGAACCTTACCCCGCCAAAATCTTCTTAATCAGCAGTAAGCAACATGCTTTGCTCCAATCTGTCAAGCTCCTTAAACCCAAGCCTCCCTCAGATTTTAATAAGCATATCTGTTTCCAGCTCACCCGAGCCCCTCTAGCTGAGGAATCACTCCCTTTCAAAAAGAACCTCATGCACAATTTCTCAACATCCCTTATGACTCCCTTAGGCAAGATAAGATGTCTACTCCAATAGCTAAAAATACTAAATAGAACAGATTTAATGAGTTGCAATCTACCCCCAAAGCTCAGCCTCTTATTGGCCCATTTACTCAATTTTTCCTTAATTTTAGTTACCAAAGCAGTACAATCTTTACTAGTAAGCTTCCTGGTAACCAAGGGTACACCAAGGTACCTAACAGGGAGATTACCAACTCTAAAGCCTGTTCCAGCCTTGATTTGCCCAAGGACAAGGTCAGATACACCACAAGCATAAAGCTCAGTTTTAACCTGAACCCTTTTGAATAAGCACGTCAATTAATAATTAGGTTCAAACCAATAAACTTAAATCCCAAGAGCCACTACAGGATTTTTTAAACATAAACAATGGAAAAATCCTGCAAAGGACTATAATCCCCAAATTTCTTTTAGCTAAACAAAGACTTATACTAATCTTTCAATGAAATCAATGTTCACTACACTATACCAATAGCTGCAATCTGTAATATCTGATAAAATGGCACACAACGTTTAATCTAGAAAATAGCACAAAGAAAAAGCTGAGTGTACTGAACCTAAATAAAACAAGCATAAATGAAAGAGCATTGGCAAGATAGAATTGAAAGAAACAATACAGAAAAAGAGATAACAGTCTAGATGGAGTTTTCGGAACCTCCTGAAGCTTTCCCGAGCTTTTTGTGGTTGAATGGATACGGCGGAGCAAAACCCTAGTCGGGAAGAAAAATCGAAAATTCAGTGTTTTATATTATGATGGACAGAGACATGTTTGGGCCAGTGGTAAAACGTTATGGGCTTGTTGGACCTTTCTACGCTTAGAAACAATATATAAAACAATTCACGCTCTTGGTGGGAAGTCTTCTGGAAGAAGCTTACTCCTGCAAAATCTAGCATAAAATCTTCTGGATCAACTTCAAATCAAGGTCGTAATAACGTTTACACTTGACGATCTATATGAATTGAATCATACTGTGATATGGATTTGATGCACCCAAAAGCTGAGGTGAAGGACGTTATTACAGATGTAATAAATAACATGTCCGATGACGAAATTGAGCTTAACGGTGATACAGGTGGTGGTTCTGAACTGTAAGTGATGCCCTCCATTGGCACTTCTCCTACAAAATTGTACCAGTGAAAGATATTTCTACGGAACAAGTCAGTTTTTTTTAACGCTAGTTAATGACAATAAACATAATGAACCAATTAAAAGTTTAATAGTTATAAATAATATAAGCTTTAAAATTTCTGTAAACAAAATAAAAAGTACTTAAAATTTGAGTTGCCATCTCTACAGTTTACGTATATTTTGATGAATTATTATAGTAGCACTTTATCAGATATCAAAAGGCAGACGTAGCCTACGTTTTCATTTCGTGTATGAAACTGTAAATTTCGTAGAACTGTATGACGTATTCAGGGCAAAAGAAATTGCAGCAAAAAATGAAAAAGAAGGCTGTTTTATTTAATATGGTAAAAAGGTTGTTCACAAGGGCCGAGGCTTAGAAGCTAAAGGGTAACAGCAGCGAGTGGTGGCAGTAATAGTGGCAGGGTCTGTGTCGATGCTCCATGGGATGTTTCTCCGACTACTGTTTATTCATGGACATCACCCCCTATTACTAGGCAATTGATGACACACTCTGAATCTCTAACAATCGAACACACCTTAATCTCTCATTATCTCAACCCTAAACGTGGAAAAGCAAAGCAAACCCTCTTTTCTCTCTCTAGGAATATAGCTGCAAAATAACTCCACCTTCTCACTACTTTCTTCATTGCATGGTCCCCGTAAAGATATACTGATGGATAACCCTTATTACATGCATGTACGTGTTTTCATGTCGTGTTATATATATATATATATATATGTTTTCCTCACCATATTTATATTGTTGTGTGAAAGTATTGTATCGATTATTTTTTATATTATGGAATTTAAATAACACGGTTTTTATTTTTTACGTTTAATAATACGTCTAGTCAATAAATTATATGTTCATATATCATTATAAAATTTTAATTTAATTTTTATACATAAAATTATAAATTGTGTTTGAATAAACGGGTAACAATAGCAAAAGAAACAAAAGGAGGGAGCTTTGATTACAATGAAGAATCGGCTCACTCTTTCCAATCGAAGACAATAATATATATAGCGGCTGTAGAATACATAATGCATGAACAAATTAACAACTTGAAAAAATTCAACTCGATTCAACTTTAAAAAATTCAATTTAATTTGATTTAACTTGTAATTTTATAAATTCTATTAAAAAAATTTACGTTTGAGTCGAGTTACAAAATAGAACTTGAATAACTCAATTTTTTTTAGTAATTAATGAATTAGTTTTCACATTTGGGTCGAGTCTCTCAATTTTTTATGATATATATATATTTAGGGATGGCAACTCAACCCGAATCCGACGGGTTCCGACCCGACCCGATCGGGTCGGATTTTTTTAAAAAAAAAATCGGGTTCGGGTCGGGTCGGGTTTTTTTAAAATGTACTGTTCGGGTCGGGTCGGGTCGGGTTTAGGGTGAAAAAATCCGACCCGACCCGACCCGAAAAATATAATTTTATCCTATATATTTAGGGATAATTACAATAATGTCCCTCCATATAATTTTTTTCAATTAAGTCACTGTTTTCATTGAATAAATTTTTTTTATTATTATTTCGGGTCGGGTCGGGTCGGGTCGGGTTTCTAAGTCACATATTCGGGTCGGGTCGGGTCGGGTGAAACCTTAATTTCGTCGGGTCGGGTCGGGTCACGGGTGAAAAACCCTTTCTTCTCGGGTCGGGTCGGGTGGCCCAAAAACCCGACCCGACCCATTGCCATCCCTATATATATTATATATGAAAAAATATATATTGCTGCAATTGAGGTATAGACTAATCATTTTTGTTGTATGTAATTGTTTATACTCTCTTTAGGGATGTTTCTTGTAGCAACATTGTTCCTTTAGATAATAAAATTTAACTTATCAAAAATATTATAAATATTTATAATTAAATTTACATAAAATTCGTACAATTTGAATATGTTAACCTTATCTTAAATTATAGACAATGATAATTAAATTTTAAATTGTTCAACTTGATTCATATTATTTTAATTTCTCTTTTGGTATGGTATTTTGTTGTTCTTTTGCTAAAGTTGTATGGTGTGCTTCATTTTTACCAATGAATGCTTCATTGGTTGGATGAATACATAGAGGGGAAACATAATACAGTCCAATTATTAAAGGCGTTCATAAATTATGTGTTCGGCCGCACGTGAGCTTGTCCACACTTTTTCTTATCTAATCAACCTTTTCATCATCGCTTTTTCCTTTCAAAAATGCCACGTGCACTTCTAACCCTGGTTCAGTTTAAATAATAACAATTTCAAAACATTTTTTAAATATTTCGCTTACCATATAGAGTATAAGGGTAAATTACATTATTAGTTACCAGTGTATGACTATTCCTTAATTACTGAACTATTTTTAATAAATTTATCACTAGTATTATATTTTTTTTCTATTACAATCATCGATAGTTTTAATATTAGTGGTGATTTTGACATAAATTTATTATTTTTTAATTTTTATATCGTTTGTTCTTCCATCATCAACAGTGCACGTGTCAATTTTTTTTATAATTATTCAGTTGATTAGATGGTATCAATTATCACAAGTTTATTAGATAAATAAAATATAAGCATTATTAACATTGAAGGGGAGTGTCCAACCATTGGACTAGACAAAAAATATATTAGAATTCTACCACTGAGCAATGGGTTATAAGTATGATTCATTATAGTATATAAGTTTTTATATATTTATAATATATTTTTTTGTCTAATTTGATGAAGGACAAAAAGAAATTCACATTAATATAACGGTAGATGACTAAAATATAAAGAAGAAGACGTTAAAGTTAGTGATAATTGGTTAAGAATATAGGTTGATTATCCAAATAAAAATATAATTATAAGTTGATGTCTAATGATATAGTTTACCCAAAATATAAATCACCCGCTGCTATTTCCCTTGTGTTCTTATTCCTTCATTCTCACCGTCTCTCAGTTCGATGTTCAAGCTATAAAACAAAACAAAAACAAAGCAAAACCCTAAAATGCCCGCATTTCGTAGTTGATTGTACTCTGGGATCGATCCTCACCATATATCTCCTCCAGTCCCCAAGGTGATGTGAAGAAGCTCTCTTTGGTTTCTTTGATCGAAAATGAGTTTTCTTTTTAATTCGAGTCAAAATTTGGATTTTAGTTCAATAAATGCGAAGGACTCTTTTGAGATATTTGTTGTTTTGTCATTTTTGTCTTTCATGATCTTCTTCTGCAAATATTGTCTTTTCAAGAATATACTTTCCAAAGCGGAAATAAATCGATTATATATTTCTTTATTATTATAATATTATTGTTTTTTCATGCAATTTCTATCTCCTCTGCTCTATCTGCTTCTCCTCTCTGCGCAGCTGTTGCATCTTTTATGTACTGTGAATCTCTGCTTTGTCGACTGCTCAGTAAAATTCACCATTTTCCCATTTTCTTTTCTTCTTCATCTCAAACATTTTCTTCGCTCTCTCTCGAGGGAAGCTCCGTTTCCAGCTCTTTAAAATTTTGAAATGAAAATGGGTATTTGAAAACTTTTTGTTCACAGAGATTTCTGGTACGACTCGCCGTCGTTTTGGTGTTACTGTTTTGAGCCTAAAGTGGAGCTCGTGAAGCATTTGTTTTTATTTTTTTTTGGGTAGGCTCTCTTTGGTTCTAGTCAAATCTGAATCGCCTACTAATGATCTGACGGTTGTTTTTTTTTTCTCATCTTCGTTTCTTTTTCAGAATTTTGATGGATGGCGATGTGATGTTCTTATATCCTTTATATATAAACCTTCCCCGCACTGTTTTTTCTATGCAGATTTCCCAGGAACGGAAGCTTTTCCCAATGGCGTTTTTTTAAAGTCTAACTCGAGGTATCAAACTCGCCTTTTTTCGAATTCCGCGACTTGTTGACCTTTGATCTCTGGGTTTCCGAGTATTGGGTGCTGCTTTCACCGATGAATGGGCGTTTCGTTTCGATACTGTCCTCGGTTTCCATCGCCGTATTATTCCTCTACCTCATCGTGTTTTTCCCAGGTGCTTGATTTACATGCATAGATACCTTCCCCCCCCCCCCCTTTATTTGTTTAAAAACAATACCAGAATTGGATCTTTGACTAAATTCCTTTCGTTTTTATACTAATTTCAATCGCAGATGAGTGCGGTTCTTTCAGGTCGAAGCTGATGGAGCTGAGGATCAAGCAAGGAAACAACACACTTTCTACTCCACATCATCGTAAGCTTCTTGTTGGTAAGCTACATCATGGCGTCGGGTCGGGTCGATTTTCGTTAACCAGAACTTTGTTTTGTCTGTAAATGTTTCCGTTGTTCAGTTTTGAGTGCTTTAGTGTGGCTAAATTACTAAACACGCCCCTTGTTATTTCTTTATACTTCAAATAAGCCCTCGCATTTTGTTTATTGCTTTTGTATCTAGGAACAGTGACGGAACCGAACAGGATTCGAGGGGAGAAGTGTAGCAAGGCAGACATTGTGATCAACCAGGGCCACTTCGCCGCTCCCGAGTGGCATTCCGACGTACACCGTGGAGATCATGAACGTCTGCATCACCGGCTGCGACATCTCGGGAATTCACTTGAACTGCGGCTGGTTCAGCTCTGCTCGGCTCATCAATCAAAAAACTTTCCGACGTCTTCGCTACGACGACTGCCTCGTCAACGATGGAAAGCCATTGACCAATGGCGGGACACTGTCGTTCCAGTATGCCACACCTTCCTTTACCCTCTTTCGGTCTCTCGTGTCGTCTGTTCTTAAAGTCGTAAAAGATTGAAGGACCTGAGCTCAAACTGTAAATGATTTTAAAGCAAGAATGGTTAAATTGTGATAGTTTAGAATACTGGGTTTCATACCAATATTATACCTATACACCCCTGTGATTCCATCCTTTCAGGTTAAATTTATTGCCAATATAGTTATTCAGACCCATGTTTGAGTGCCAGATGCAAAGTGTTTTTCTTTCTACTTTTAATTTACTAACCTTATTTGTACAATAATGATTATATTATATATTATGCATGAGTTATCGCTTAAAGATGTTACATATTTAAACCCATGACATCATGACATTTACATATATTACATGCAATATATATATATTACAATCCAGGAGAGATAGAGAAGAACAAGCAAATGATATATTTATGTATGCAAATCCAGGTTAGGGTTAGGAAGTCCGTATTTTTCTTCCTTTGATCATGTTGATAACTTTGTAATTTGCAGCTCATCCACTCATTCCATGATCTTGAACATGGAGAATCTGGGTTTTCGGCACCCGATGATCCTCTGAATCCGTTACCATGCCCAAATTTATAATATATTTTCTTATAATCATCTCATACTACTAAAGAAATAAATCAACTCTCAATAGTCCACAATAACAAAAGAAAACCATTCCGAAACAAATTTAACAGGACAAAACAAGTACCTATTTATGGTCCACGTTGTAGTGGTTAGGCCTATGCATTTTCAAAAATATTGCTTTTACATTTGGCCCACTTGTTAATTCAATCTTTACTATTGTCCTTCTTTGTATTCACTTGCCCATGTCAAGGTTTCAAATGTTTTATATTTCATTTATTGTTATACATACTTAATATCATATTAATTTGTTCATACATAAAAGCATAAAAGTTAAGAAACAGAAAGTAGATAAGATTATTAAATATTATATTAAGAAATAGAATAAATATTTAAAAAAACAATTTGGTTGATCCAAAAATAGATTTGGACTTGAGTCGGTGATATATAAACATAAGTATATATGGATAAACTTGAGGTTTATATTTTGAGTAAGATTAAGGGTCCATTTGTTTATTGCTGAATGAACCACTCAGCACCGGATGTTGAACCGTTCAACATCCAGCGTGTTTGATTCTCACTTCTGATGAAGATTATGCTGAATGAAACAACAAAACACTGCTGAATGATTCAGCATTAAAGTACATTCTGAATCATTAAGCACACGATATTTTACCATAATACCTATTTTTTTCACATGTTGTCTTATTAAACATCATATCTTATAATATAATAAATCAATATGAAGGTAAAAATGAAAATATTCATAATTCAGATTGTACATTCAAAACCATTATCAAATAACATGTCACATTCAGAGCCAATTCATACAGAGCCTTTGAATCATTCAGACCATTGAATCATTCAGCGCTTAATCATTTTATTTTATCAAACAACCCCTAAGTTAAAAAGAGAAGCATAAGTGTGTTAATTTTTTTATATAAATTCAAATTGAACCGGTTTACAAAATATCTATTTTTTAATCTAATTTACTTCGTTTATAATATTAAAATTTAAACATTGTTTAGGAATCGAGCATCTTTATAAAATTAATCCAAATATTTATCTTTAGTCATCGTTGTGTTAAATATTATAAATGGTACGTAACTTTAATAAATATTAATAATTTTATTAAAATAAATAATTATTAAATTAATAATTTAGAACTATAAGAAGCTAAATTTAGGAGGTGAGTTTTCTGATGTCTGAATCAACATTGCGTGGAAAGAGCAAAGATAACTTCTTCGTTGCGAGAAAAGCACAAACTCCAATGTCTCTTTCATGGACGATTTAAAAGCACAATTGTTTTATTCTTTTTCTTTGAAATCAAAAGCAATAGCTTTTCAGTTGGTTTATTTTCTCCAACTTAACTAATCCTCAAACCAACGGCCTTAAATTCTTCAATTTTTTTTTTAAACATTGCATTTTTAATATAATTTATTTAAAATTGTTACTTACGATAAAAAAATTAATTCTATAAACGAAATTAACGCCGTCATGTTTGTTTTATTTTTATTATATTAAATGTATTTAAATATAAATTATGATGTTTGAACCGTTCCTATAAGATAGATTGATAATTAAAATAGGTAACATGCTTGTTGATAATTCAAAGTTAGTTGAAAAGCTAAAATAAAATGCTGATAAGTTCTTATTTAGAGCAAAGGTAGATGAAAGCTTTGACCGACTTAAAGCCCCTTATAAAGTAGAGAAATGGAGAGATTAATTAAAATAAAATAGCAATTAAAGAAACTTACACATTAAAAACTTTCTACACTCGTATATTATACATATATATGAGTAATTATTAGATACATATTTAAAATAAAAATTCAGTATAATGATTTGTATCATTTATATTAATCGCATATTAATTAAATGATAAATTAATTTAAACAAAATTAGGGGACCATGCTATCAAATTTAGAAGGGACCAACACGTTAAAAATATTCCATGGGAAAAAAAGTTAGGTGTGAACTCCAGTTTTACTCGAATGTCATATTGGTATAAACTCGAATCGATTCAAATTTAATGAATAAATAAAATTTTAAATTATTATTTGACTAAAGTCAAGAAAATTCATTTATTTAATGTTATTTTGATTTGATAAACTTTAAGGATCATAGAGGGACCATTGATGTGTTTTCCTTCATCTTTTTGACCCTATAAATGTTTTCAACTTTCAATGGACATTGCTTGACACTGCCACCTCTCATCTTGCAGCAGAAGAAAGGGAAGATTCAGGGGTACTAATTTACTTAACAAGGATATGAACAATCTGTCGGTGAATGGACTGAAAAAATTGCCGCCGGGGTTCCGGTTCCAGCCGACCGACGAAGAGCTGGTTTTTCAGTACTTGAAATGCAAGGTCTTCTCCTCTCCTTTGCCTGCTTCTATCATCCCTGACCTCAATGTCTGCAACTTTGATCCCTGGGATCTGCCTGGTAAGCTTTGTTCTAGCTTTGCATGCATTATCTATGGAGGGTTATTAAATGTATTCGTAACAGATCGATACTTATACTCGAGTTCGAATTGTTTTAGTTTCTAATCTTGTATGCATATGGATAAGATATGAATATTAACTACGAGAGCTCCTATGGAATTAGCTCTACGTTATATGATTTATAGTTATGGTATTCTATCTCATGGATATATTTTGGATGTACATATATTTTAAAACGTAAGAATCGAAATATTTTCTTTTGTAGGTGAGATGGAGGGGGAGAGGTATTTTTTCAGCACGAAGGAAGCAAAGTATAGAACAGGGAACCGGATAAATCGAGGGACTGCTTCCGGATATTGGAAAGCAACCGGTTCGGATAAGCAAATCATATCAAGGAGAAATGAAGTAGGAGGGATGAGAAAAACCCTAGTTTTCCACATGGGGAAGCCTCCACATGGATCAAGAACTGATTGGATCATGCATGAATATCGCCTACTTACTCTATCAAATCACTCTCTACATGCAAACATCCAGGATTATTTGAATCATGACATAGAAAAGTGGGTTCTGTGCCACGTGTTTTTGAAGAAACCAAGTAACAAGACTAGTGATGAGGAGGAGATTATGCACAGTTTTTGTAATAATAGTAACAAAAAGTCAAAAAAAACCAAAATTGTTTGATTTTATGAGAGAAAACGATGGCATAACAGCCGAGTCATCTTCTTCTTCTTCAAGTTCGAGCAGTAATATCACTGAGGTTTCTTCAAGTGCATGCAGTAGGCAGTAGCATCCACTGCAATAACATTGCATGATGTATTCTGTAATATTTAACTGTTTAATATATATTATTTCCTTTTAATCAATTATTAGTGTCGGTCTATATTAACTTTCGAAACTATAATAATTTTCTTAGAAACGAATTAATATGATAGAATATTATATAAAAATTAACTTTGCATAAATAAGAGAGAAATACATATAAATGATCTTGAATTAAAGCAATAATATCTGCATATGATTAACATTATTAATTTATGTTATCTTACCTTAAAATATAGAATAACAAACAAAGGTAATTTATTATTATATATATTGGAAATCCTTTCATGGTACTTTTATTTGTGTTTTGTCAAAAGTTGGATTCGGAGCCGAAAGCATAGTGGATTCCAAGTTAATTATAGTAAATTTAATTCAGTCCAACTTCAATACATACACACACCAGAGTGACAAGTGGTATCTACTACGTACTCAAAACAAACTTTATAGAATTTTTAAATATATTAGTCTAATACATATAATCCTTACGAATACCAAGTCATAAAGAATTGTTGTTATTTTTTGAGATTTTAAGCTTGAATATTAGAAATACTAATAATACGAGCATTCAATATTAAATGGTAAAAAAATCGATACATCAAATTCTAATTATTTTATGTAAAAAAAGAAGAAGAAGAAGTTGGAATAAAAGTATCTTAGTCTTTTTGTTTCTTTCTTTTTTATAATAATTTTCATTATTCTCGGGATAAACTACATTAAATATTGTTATTTTTATTAAAATATTATTAAATTATAAATTGATATAATTATTATATTAAAATTTAATTTTACATGTAATTATATCACTGAATTATTAAATCATTAAGTGGTTATTAATGTATTATCATAAATAATATTTTTTATTAATTTGGTGACGTGGTAAAAAAATATCGTTTTAGTGCTGTTGATGCTCAAAACATTTTTCATGACTATATCATTTAATTTATGTATTGAATTTGTCATTACATTTTAAAATGCTTCAGTTTTAGATATTAAGTTTTTCGATTGTCACTAACGATCAATTGTCTTACATCATCAGTTGTTATTCACAATAAAATTAATATTTATACATTTGTATTTTGTACTTCACTGACCTTCTTTCTCTTCAAATAGATTTTTTTTATAAAATTCGTTCAAAATCGATAAAAAAATTATATAAATATTCGACATGATAATGATCCGATATCTTCTTATAATCTTTCAATGATACCAATTTTCTAAGTATATTATTCAAGTTCTCGAAATAATACTTCTTACTGCTCCACTTTCACCAGCATCAAGTTGGAGGCATTCCAGGCGTTGACAGCCCAATATTGTTAGTTTTTTGAACCTCGAATTAAGCCCAGCGTATAGTTTTGAAGGAACCAGGGTGCTTCGTTGGTGAACACAGGCAGGTATTTCGAGTAAATAAGGAGCAGAAGGAATTGGTTAAATAGAAGGAATTAGTTAAAATCAAACGCTTTCGAGTTGTGGATTATTCTGGGTCTGACGCACAACAAGTGCTCGTCAATATGTCTATATAGTAGCATGAGTAACAGTAGAAGTACGTTGTTCGTTTGCTAAAATGGAGGGGAAAGAAAGCGTCATCCCAACTCTGTTTGTTCAGAACATTCCACCTAGATACCATTGGAGTGGATTGAGACAACTATTTGGCAGACATGGAGATGTAGTTAGTTCTTACATTGCAAGGAAGTTAGACAGAGCAGTAAATTGATTCAGGGGGATGTAGATGAGGACGTAGTTCGAAAGCTTCGGAAATGCCTGGTAGGAACGATGACGACGATTTGTTCTTCGAGTCAGGTGGAAGACATGTTACGCAGGAGGCCTAGGTGAAATTAAGACCAAATTTCTGGGAGGAAGAGATTTTTTAGTAGAGATTGATGATGACGAATTATACAATATCATGAAGGAGCATAATTGGTCTTATTTAAATGAAGTTTTCTTGGAAGTTCACCCTCGGTCAGAATCGTACAGACCGTCGGAAAGAGTAACTTGGATTAATTATTTGGAGTGCCATTGCACTGTTGGAATCATTCCACGTTTAAGAGAATAACAGAGAATTGGGGAGAATTTTAGCGTTGGGAGAAAATGCTCTACAATCAAAGGACTGGAAGATACGAGGGCAGTGGAGGATGTGGTTAATATGGGTCTCTCAAACCAAGAGCTGAGCGAGGATACTTAATTCTCAAATCCAGGCAGATCCAAAGAGCAAAGGCGAGGAAAAACAAAAACAGTTTTATTCAAAGCATTCAGGAGAAATTCGTATATTCACAAAGGAAGAATAGAATTTGTCGAATGAAGAAAAGTAAGAAGAGATACAGAGGGAAGAAGAATTGAATGACTTGAAGGTAGGTCCCTATCTGATTCTGACATACAAGCAGGATGTCAGAGACTAAGAGGGAATGATCTTAACGTTACAGATTGGTAGAGAATTAGGAATAGAGTTCAAAGGCTCATAAGAAGTTGGTTCGAGAAATAATAGCCTTGGAGGAATTGGAAGGTGAATCTCATCTATGTCCATTGAATTTAGTTGTCTTCATAAGGGGATGTTTTGAAAAGAAATTATTATCCTAGTTGTAAATCTGTATATTTTCTTCTTTACTATGCTGGCTTTGTGGTGTAATTAGAGAGTTTGTGTGTTTAATTCATGGTTGTTCATGTCTGGGGGTTGTAAGGAAAGAGTATTTGGCTGTTTCTTTAATGTTTTAGTGATTGTACTATCTGTTTGTTATCTTCGAGTCTTGAATGGAACAGAGGTTGTGTTGTTGTTTTGACAGAAGTTTTGGTTCTGCTGGTATGAGATGGAGTGTGTCCAAAAAAATTGTCAATGGTGTTATGGTAGCTGGTTGTTGTTGTATTGTTGAATTCAAATTGTGGAAGCCGAGACGATATGGTGGATTTCTCAATCTTAGGTTAAAGTGCTGAATTTAAGTATCATTGTTATTGAGAAAGTTGGATTGTGACTGGCCTTGATAAGCTGGAAATTTTAGATATTTTGTTTTGTAAGATGTCTATTGTGGAGGAATGAGTATTGCAGGAGGTTTTTGTGGTGGCATGATTTCGATCATTTTTGTTTGCCTTAGGGGTCTCAGACAATGTATTGTATCTATTGAGCAGTGTGTGTTCACGTTTCAAGGGCTGGATTTTGTGTCAATTAGATACTGTTATGATGAATATTAAGTGGAGGTTTTTTAGTAGGAATAATAAGGAAGAGCCATTACCATTGGTGTTGTATTTGCACTGCTGGGTGAAATACGATTGTGGTATGGTTGATTGGTTGGTTATTGTTTGGTTTGTTGATAGATTCATGACTTCAAGCTTGGTGACATTAGGAAAGACCTTGTTCTGGATTCCATAGTATTGTTTGTGTAAGCGTAATCTTCTTCGAGAATTACCTTGGTAGCCCACTCTGGAGTGTGTGGAAATATTTTTATGTCTTGGTATGAGTTTCCTGGTGTCGAGTTTTGTTCTGACGATTGGATTTGTTTTGATGGTTTTTACTTTTGAGAGTTTTGATGGCTGTAATGTTATGTGTTTTTTTAGATGGCCAAAGGTGTGAATTTGTAGGGGTGGGTTTCTTGTGCATCTGGGTTCTGTTTTTTTTTGTTCGATGCGTTTGTTTTGTTCTCTTATGTAGTACTATTTTCCTCCAATTAGATTAGAGAGGTTTTTAATGAGGCTCATAAGTTGAACTTTGACTCTTTATTTAATTTAATAAATTGTCCTTTGCTGAGCAAAAAAAAAATCTGTTCTTAACAACGGTGAGCCGGTCAAGTAAATATGGTAATTCAAACCAGTTCTAACGGATGCATCAAAATATTAATGTCAATACATCCGCATATGCTACTTAAGGCTATGTTTTAATACACACACTCAACACCTTGCAAGATTTAAGTATATAATAGTTCATACCTGACACACTTTATTCGTTAGGAAAGGCACGGAAATGAGTTCTTCATCCTCAACAACACTAGCATTCTTGGATTTCATCAAGAAACCGCCAGAGTCTTCATCGAATTTCAGTATGAAGGCCAGCTTGAGTAGATCGGACAACGAACTGATCTCATCTTCCTTTCCCACAGTAGTCCTTCAGCAATGGTTTCAGAGAATAAGTAGCATATTCAAGCTGATCCTTTTGTCCACCAGACTCGTCCATCTTCTGAAAGAAAAACTTGGAGCTCGCTTTCCCAACGCACCATTCGACTTGCTCGAACTTCATGGTTTTCACCTGAAGATACTAACAAGTATATTCGACTTCAACCGGTTCACAAGTCTCGAGGACAATGAGATTGAGGAGGGGCTGAACAACTTCATGCCTTCTGTCAGCATCCAAATTCATTGAAGAATATGCTAAAAGGCCCAGAATAACTCGGAGCTGCCCTTTCCCAATCATAGAATATCCAAGATTAATATGCGCTTGAACCCTTTCTTCAGTTTTTTTTAACCCTGTTTTTTTTACAACTCAAAAATATGGACTGAGGCAAATGGGTAAGCTTGGCTGAGGATATCAAACAAACAGTGGAAGAGAAGAGGATTGGACAAAAAGATCCTTAAGTTGAAGATCATCACCTATAAACATGTTTTTATCAAATAACATATTCCAATCCAAACCCGAGTCCACAGGAACTTTCCCAAACTTTCAGAAATATTTTCTCTTTCTTTGAACTATTGTGCTGCAAGACAAACCTCCAGAATGCACAACACTCATCATTCATCAAACGATGTCCTGAAGTTTCCCAACCTTTCCAGAGTCTGCAATAATCATCAAGTGAAGGATTGATTTGACACCGAATGTACCAGATAAGATTTACAGTGGGACTTTGTTTTTATAGTGTTTGTCCAAAACATTGAATTGCAATCCAAAAGTCCATCTTTATCATGTAGAACACATTCATCGGGTTCTACCCACCTTCCATTTCGTCTCCTTCGACCCTAGGTTTGTTGACATCTTTGCCGGAGCTTTG